AAAGTATGACATCAGATGTAGTTGACATCTGATGTACCTGAGGTATGACATCAGATGTAGCTGAAGCATGACATCTGATGTACCTGAGGTATGACATCAGATGTAGTTAAAGCAGGACATCTGATGTACTCGAAGTATGACATCAGATGTAGTTGATATCTGATGTACCTGAGGTATGACATCAGATGTAGCTGAAGCATGACATCTGAATGGCCTAGTCGATCATATGTCGAATATCCTCTTTGGTTATCTGAACCATGTGAGGTGGAGCTGGTTGATGAGGGTCTTGCTGAAGGTTTCGAAGTGGATCTGGGGCGCGACCTCAAGTGTCATTTTGAAGATAGCCTTGAGGATCATCACGAGGGGGTCTAGAAGGGGATCTCGGTCACGACGTCAGGTGACGTCCTGAGACATGTTAAACCTGAACCTGCACGTGGCAAGTTGGTTGTTGTTCTGAGGTTGTGCTATGGGTGGAGCCACAGGAGGAGCGTTGGTTTCCGTTGTGGCGATGCGTTGTGCTACTGCTTCAGTAGCAACGCGGGAAGATGCTTCTGTAATCATAAGTTGAAGGGCCTCCTCGGTTATCTGAACCGTTAGAGGAGCAAGTAGAAGTTGATGACCCATGGCGAATGAAATCTTTTGGGGGCACTGTGAACCCCCAGGGAGTCGATAACCTTGGCGAACGAAATATTTTAGGGGCAGATGTAAGCCCCCAGGGAGTCGATAACCCTTGGCGAACGAAAATATTTTGGGGGCGATGTAAGCCCCCAGGGAGTCGATAACCCTTGGCGAGCGAAATGTTTTGGGGGCACTGTATACCCCCAGGGAGTTGATAACCCTTGGCGAGCGAAATATTTTGGGGGCAGATGTAAGCCCCCAGGGAGTCGATGGCGGTGGTGCCATAGGTGGCTCCACATGTGGAGCAGGTGCTGGTATCGCGTTGGGAGCATTTGCTCCCATCGTGGCGATATATTGGGTCTCGGCCTCTGTGGCAGCGCGAGTTGAAGCTTCTGCTATCATGCGTTGAAGCGCATCCTCGGTTATTTGAACCATTCGAGGAGCAGGGAGTGGTGGATCGGCGAGTGGTGGGTCCCGAGGGGGGATCACCTGAACCTCGCGAGGCGGATCCATGGGATGTGGAGGAGGTGGCAAGCCAGAGCCTCCACAAGGTGGGAGGTCGTTAGCTGTGTCATTTCTCTCCG